CAGGAAAACCCAGCCCCTAACACACCAGACAGCTAGTTTGTGAATTTTGCATAGTCAAACGCTACTGATGAAGTTTTTATGTAATTATTATTCACAAAGTAAGGTTTGAATGATCTTGACTTGGGGGGTTCTGTTTAGACTAAATATTCCTCGTTGTTACTATGGATAATCCACAAAAGAGTAGAAACAACAAAGGGATGTTGCCTTTTGCCTTCTCGATATCGTCTGGTGTCGCTGGTTTATGTTACATTTTAGGCTATACCGATTAGATATGTGACACGGCCATATAATATACGGCCTATCTATGCCACATATTGGATGTCCGTGGTTCACGAACACTAGAGTCTTTGCCGATACTCATTTCACGCAACAGGCTATGTATTTTTAATTTTCTTTATAAAGATGTGGACTTTGTTTTCATCTGTTTAAATGTTTTAAGGTCAACGATTAGAAAAGAAGTTGATTATCAGATAGATTTATCGTTTGAGAGGAATCGTTTGTCGGCATGGTTGATAAAACTGGCTTTTTTAAGTCTGTTACCAGCATCAATTAAGACTGTTTATCGAGTGCAAAATTGTAGAAGGTTATCCATAGATTTATTTGAGAAAATAGATTTTAAAGACACTTCTATTACCAAATTCGAATATTCAAGATTTCGCGACTTTATTACATGACATGTATACACAGTTGGTCTTCTGATAAAACATTCTCTCGTTTTAATGACAATCGAGTACAAAAGCTGCTAACGCCCCCTCTCGAGTATCTACCACTGCTCCTTATTAAAAATGTTTGTATAATAACTAACCACAGCAAGGATCATTCCCGCGCTTGAATTTCATCTAATGGTCGAAAAATTGATTTACGTCATTAAAATTCTGAGAAAAAAGAATAGCTATTTTGAAAGTCATAAATATTTGCATGGTTGAAAAACTAGCACGCCCTAATCTTTTTTATGTGGTTTCCTCTATTATTTCCCTTTCGTCCTCGGGACCGTTACTAATATCACGGAGTAATAATAGGTTGTATGAAAATTTTTGACAAGTAAATAATATGAAAAGGTATACCACATGGATAAAATGAGGGTCAAATCAATTTTGTCAGCGGTCTTAAAAATTTTTCATCGATCGACTGATTTCCTACCGCGATTTTTAGATATCGTGAACTTATGTTCTAAAATACTCCAGCGAATTTTAAAATGTTCTTTTCTTTACTTTGTCTTGCTGAGTCATGATTCAAGCCAGGCAAGCCAAGCTGACACTGATCCTTCAATAGAATTGATGAAGTGGAATGTCCCAGGCTGTTGAGCATATCTCTATAAGCAGAGCTCATATTTAGTTGTTGTTTGTTATTACAAGCTTTTTCCAGTCATTCATTTAGTAAGACGGAGCAAAATGGTACACGGCACAATAGCAGCGGTGTAGTAAAAAACGGGGGAGGTTTAGGTCGGGTCGGGTCGGGTGAATGCCATTCTTTACCCGACTCGACCCAAGCCTTACTCTTTTTTCGTTCCGCCCTGACTATCGCGCCGTCTACTGAGCACTTCGATTTACCAGCTGAATGTCTCGAACAAGCTATGTTGTCACTCGATATGTTGTCAATAAAAGCTGTGATGCAGACTACGAGTGACTACTAAAGATATTTTCTTCGAGTCAGCAGTGGAGCCACTTATCACGAAAGAGGAATGGAGAGACAAAATGAATGCAATCACCTGTCGTATACATAGCAACTTTAATTGTTACTACGCTAATCAACAGAGAAATTAACTTACCTAACTTAACGCTTTATAAAGCAAACACTATATTGAAAAAGGTTTTTGTAGCTTTATGCTTTGCGCCTACCATAATGGGGCGGACGCTGACATCAATCGAATCTAACAACGCCATATCGGAGAAATGTTTTATATTGACGGAACCTCCAAGCGTCCATCGAATCTCAATTGAGTTATTTAACTTGAAATTTTGTAAAAACTGAAATACAATAAATTTAAAAAAAAACCATTACCATGCAAAATACAGTAATCGAAATGTTCTAAATTCGAACACAAGGGGCGTGTATACAGATAAATCAAAAGAACACAAATATCCTAAGCGAAACAAAACTACCTTTGATTGTACTCGTTTCGGTATATAACTAGATACATAGATAGATTCTTTATTGAAATACATCGCAGCTCGTAGAGCTTAATTTACGTATTTTCATTAAAATTCTAATTGAATGTACAAACTTACAAATTGAATAACACCTAAGAGCTAATGATATTAATATCTGAAACATTTAAAAACTATAAACATCTTGTTGAAATTATATTGTGAAAAGTCTAATAATTTAAACGTTATTCACTAGGGCACATGAAGCCATAATAAAACTATTCTTAAATCTGTTTGTTTTCCAGCGCGGTATGCCGAAGGATCGCGCGTGCCTAATATTTTACTTGCTCTCATGTAGAGGCGGTAGTAATTTCCTGAGTTTATGACCGCTGTCATTCAAAATACTTTCAAACGTACGCTTGCAAATATCTCTGTGATGCTCCGCTACGGACGGTAGGTTCGATAGCGCAAACGCGTGCTGATATTCCATGCCAGGGCAGATGATTCGCATTGCGCTTTTCTGATCTAATCGATAACGGAGCGCACACGTGATGTTGAAAAGACAAAGATCTTTCTGAGAAACGCGGGCTCTTTTAAGCTGGATGAGAAAATAGAGCCGCTTAGCTGCCGTTTTCATCACTTCTGTGATATGTGCGTTCCAAGATAGGTCACTTGAAATAGTTACACCTAAGAGTTTAGCATCAGTAACAACCTTTATGCACTCTCCTCTGATAACTACAGGAGGGGAATCATGACTAACTGAAGCAAAAGAAATGCGAAGTTTCTTACATTTGTCAGTATTTAGTTTGATTTCTGTTAGACCAGTCTGCTACCTCATCTGCTACAGTTTGCGCATTGCTCACTTTTCCTTTCCTAATTACTGCAGATGTCATCGTGTCGTCTACGTATTTCCAAAGTGATGCATTACAAATTGCTAGGTCACTAATCATGATTAAAAACAACCATGGAACTACAGAACTACAGAAATAAACCAAATGACTTACCTCTTTCGTCGTTCTATTAATTACTGTAATATTTCAACAATTCTTCGATCTATCTCCTCTTCTGACTGTACTTGCAACTCACACGCGTCTCGTGGCCGAATGAAACTCGAAAGTATGTCACACAAAACAAAAGGGTATTGAAAGTCACGCAAATCCCAACTAAAAATAGCCTTTGCTACACCTACGAAATAACTGAATATTTTTATTCGGTAGCAAAGCCGTATTGTAAAAAAAGGCCCGTATAGTTTTTCGAAAGCACAAAAACAAAATCTTGGCTAATTAACATGGTATTGGTGAACATATATTCCTTCAAAGGAAGTCTTCAAACTGCTTCCTGACCGTGTAACATCTGCCCTGTAACCTTTCTGCTTTTCAGTTTGTCGTTCGTATGTGAGTAAGTCCCGAAATCACAGCATTGGCACAAGCACTTCGTCATCTGTCAATAGCTTTCAGAAAGGGTTTTCCTCAGTCAAACACTGAGTTTTCCACCATTTATTTTGACACACTGATCACAGAGAAAATTTGTCCTTGTTAAACGATGCCATATCCAAAAAGGTCGTCTATCATTTTGATAAACAGGTAACTAATACAAAGAGCACGATTCAGAAGCAAAATTCCGCCTTAAAACCAGAAAATGTCTCCCGTGGAAGGAATATTTGAATTATTTATAATCTTTTGAGCAACATTCCCACCCTAGCCCATTGATCTATCTTGAGACCTTACAGGGTATAACGGCTGGATAAATTGTCGCTGAACGACCGATTCCCGATTAATGCAAGGTACACATGCCAACCTCTGTGGAAAATATTTATGTGCTTTGTGGCACAACGGACTCTTGAGATGGTTTGGGCATTTCAAACTGGGTAGGTAATACGGTTTTAATGCTTAAGGATACATGCATAAAAGGTGAGATCGAAGCCAAGGTGGATGTGAAGTTGTTGCGAAGGCGAAATATCTCTGTTATACCCATAGTAAAGTAGATACTAATGATGCCGACCACAAATTTAACAGCATTTGAAAGGCAAACAAAAACATTGAAGACCTAGTTTTCTCGCCATCATAGGCAGGTAGATGTGACAACAATCACTTTATTTTACGGAAGTCCACATTCTCCTCTCGCTCATGGCATTTTTGGGGAACTTCCTCATCCTTATTGCCTTTCACAAAGTATATTCCCTTCATCCGCCGTCCAAACTCTTGTATCGTTGTTTGAAAACAACTGATCTGTTAGTTAGCATTGTCAGCCAGCCTCTCATTGCCCCTTATTGGATGTTCTTGGTTCAGGAAGAGTGGTATCTTTGTCGATGCACATACAAAGCAACAAACATAACAGCCTATATGCATTATGTTCAGTGTGGACAGACTTCTAGCCCTGTTGTCGGGGCTAAGATAAAGACAAATTCAGTGTACTTCATGGTAGCAACCTTTTGGGTACTGTTTGGTGTCGCTGGTTTATGCTACATTTTAGACTACCGAATAAATATGTCGTCCCCCTTCTATACTCTGTTGGTGACGACTTATCCTCCCTCCGTTTCCCCTGAGAACCATGTGATCCCCCTCTCCCATCCCCCCCCCGAAAAAAGAGTCTTTTACATTATGATCACCTCTTCCTTTCAATACCCTCTAGCTCTGACATTTCCATGCAAAAAATATACTGATCTTAAATAATCGCACAGCCTGGTAGAGAATTTGACTCTTCACTTGATTACCAACTCTCCTATTCTTAATTTTCAGCCATCAGAAAATTTACCCGAGCTTATAGTGAGAATTGTGTTCAACACATTTGGTAGACTTATAAACAACACCTACAAGAGGAAGATGCGTTCTTTGGTTTTCATCCCGAAACACAAGGACTCCATCAGAGAGAAGGTTGTCAATGGAGAAATATCAGTCAAGAAGCTTGCTTCATCCTCTGTGGAGAAGCTCACCTAAAAAGTTAAAACTGGGTTGTTTATCGTGTTATATAAACATATTTTCTATTTTTATGCTGAATGAACATACAATCTTTTTTTAAAGGCAAGACTTAGACAAAGTAAATAATTATACCATGATCCTTTTTGCGTTATGAAATACAAATTGTCTGAAATATTTAAAGATTACAAGTGAGACTCGGTTTTTTTAAACAAAATGTCTCTTGCAGGTGTAGTTGCGGTGAGCAATATACTTGAAATACAATGCAATACAATTGCCATGACCTCTTTGAAAGGCACTTTTGAACACCCTTACTTTCCTCAGAGATCCCAACTGATTTTATGAAGAACTCTTTGAAGTGATTTTGTGTATTCCATTCACGCATTGTGAAGCTCTGAGTTAGAAGTTGGCACTATAAGTCATGGACCAACTTTTCTGTGCTTGAATTTATGACCCAGGTGCAAAGTGCACAGGTTATAAATCTGAGCAAAAAAAAAGGGAGGTTCTGTAACTGACAACACAGACCAAGAAAACAACTTAGTGAGATATGATATCTCAGGGTTCAAATACAGGGGAGAGACTTACGTACAAACAAATTTTGAATTCAGCGGGCTGTACGATGAAATATGGCTCATTAAATTGACTGATCATAGTAAATTTACTAACTGAGAGATACATGGATAGTTAAATCTTGAGATTAATCTTAAATACAGTATCACTTTTCAAAACGGTGGTTTTTTTGTTTCCTTGTTCTTTCCATCAAGAAATTCAAGAAAATTACTCAGAGGATAAGATTTATGCTGTTCTTATGACTGTATTCCTTTCACAAGCTGTTTCACCATTGTCTCAATTTGATTGTTGTTCATGTATTCAGAGTTCGAGACAGCATTGGCAACAGTAATCGTATGGGGTATTGATGATGAATTGATCCACACTCTACCATTCATTCCCACAGTGCATTCAAATGAAAAGTGCTTTCCAAGACATTTTAGAAGAACAAATTCTTTGCTGAGGAGTCTATGAGAGAATCACATAGTCAAACAATCATTAAAATTTGAGCCACAAAAGTTTACCAAAGGCACAAGGTACATGTGAAGTTGGTTTCAAAACCTACTGGCCATTCCAGCCAGAGCTTACAGTATATTGGTTTCTAAACCAAAAAGTGAATAAAAAATAAAACCACTCTAACTTTGATGGGATGCTAGTCATAAACTACCCCTCTGGTCCCCAGCCCTCCCCTTTCTCTTCTCACCCTTACCCTTCTCTCCCCTCCTACTGACATTTTTTTCACGTTCCCCTGAGAGTTTGCCTGTACCCACCTATGTTCCTGAGTGGAGAGAGGCACTATCATTCATCTCATCAAATCCCTAGCCCTCCCTCCCCCCCACCCCTTCCTTCCACCACTCAAGGATTTTGCTAGCTTTCTCTGACAATTCACACGTACCTTTTTACACTCCTGAGTGGAGAGAGACAGTGTGAGAAGCAATTTCATTTATCTAACACAAGCCCAAGCCCCCCCCCAGTCACCCTTCCAGGATTTTGCTAGCTTTCCCTGACAGTTCACAGGTACCCATTTATACTCCTGAGTGGAGAGATGCAGCATGAGAAGCACTTTCATTTATCTAAAGCAAGCCCAAGCCCTTGCCCCCCACCCACCCTTCTGGGATTTTGCTTGCTTTCCCTGACAGTTCACATGAACCCATTTATACTTCTGAGTGGAGAGAGGTAATGTGCGAGTAAAGTACAGTATCCTACTTAACCCTGTAACTCCCAAGATCAGATTATTAATTCTCCCCTTTAGCTGCTAACCATTTCCTTGTGAGCAAATTACATGAATTTGGTGTTACATCATTGATAAGAACTTCTACCTGATAAGTTTGAGCATTCTTATTACTTGTTTGCTGAATAGTGTATGGATATTGTAGGGAGATGTTACATTTTAATCACTTCTGGGAAATAAAGGATTAAGGACAAACAAAATTACTCCACCAGGTCTCAAAACTGGACCTCTGCACTGGGCTTTATTTCTTGCTAGAAAAAAGCTCAGGTTAACCTAGATGTGCAAGTGAAAATTGATAAAAGGAAATGATACCATACCCATTATTAAACAATCTGGTATGTACGCATATTCTTATTGGTATGAATATTTATAACCTCCCTTATGGAAATTCCTACATACTCTAGTAGGCCATATTCGATATATTCAAATTCAAATTTGGCTCTGAGGCATGGGAGAATAAAACAAAACAAATCACTTCGAGGTTGCAAGATAAATGATGAATTTCTTGTATTTAATTCCCCCTAAACTCAGAGTCATGTAAGACCTATGGCCTATTAGTGGCATGTAGGTGACAACATTTGGAGGGGCAACATGACTTGGGGCCACAGGACCAATTACTGTATGGGATTAAAAAAACTCGGAAATCTCACTTACTTTCTTGAAAGTCCAAGTGAACAATTGATCATAAAGCCTCCAGACAGCTGTCCCAGACCAGTGCTTTTTCCACTGCCATCTGTGCAATCCAGTTCAGGTTCCATGTCCTTATTTGCAACACAAAGCCTGGCATAAACAATATCCCCTATCTGAAATTGATAAAATTGATCAGTTGTAAATCCTTTTCTCAAAACACTAAGGTAGCTGATTATCAGCTGCAAGTGCAGGGCTAAAAACTAACTCCAGTGCTTGGTGGCCAGTCAGGCCAGTTTCTTTGAATTCTTAGTGGCCCATCCCAAAATGAAGTAGCCCTCAATTTCCTTTAGTTTAAAATGAAAAACTTAGATAAATGCCCCATGGCTTTTATTGGAGCATAAACTAAAAGGAAAGAACAAGCTCATGAAATCACTGCTAAAACGGCTTGGAATTTCCACTTCAGAACTAAAAATTCACTACAATGGATGATCTTAGAGTCCAGGCAAAGAAACAAAGAGAAAGTTAGTCCAATGAAACTAAATATTGAGTTTTATTTTTAACTTTGTACTTTGCATTCTGTAGCATAGTCGCACATCGGGCGTTCAAACTTTAACTTTTGGTCAGGCACTGGTCAGTTTGAACTCGCCACTGGCGACCATGCGACCGCCAATTTTTAGCCCTGCAAGTAAATGATTGACAAAAAGATTCCAAGTTTCTGTGTGTATGTTCAGTAATAGATCAAAAATGATGTCAAAATGTGGTAAAAACAAAAAAGTTCAAATTCTCCAAACTAACATCACACAACTTGTACAGCAAACAGTAAGAAGAACTACTAATGAGATCTTGAAGTAAAATGGTTCAGCCAGCTAGACAAAGTACACAGATTGTTATATCTAATTTTTTTAAAAATATATTTGTTTTTTAATTTTTTTTGTACCTGAAGATTAGGTTTATTCTTCTTAGTGGCTCCCTCGAATGATAAACTTGGTAATGATGCAGGCATTGCCCCTCCAATGTCTACTTTGTAACTATCAGAGCCTCTGTTTGTTATGATTCCAATGACTTTCTCTTCCTTCACTGGAATGTACTGAAAAGCATGTCACAAATCTATTTATTTTTATTTATCTTCTTGCAATGCTTAAACAGGTTGGCTAAGTTCAGCTTTAAACCAGGTTTGAATGGGGCTTGTAATAATACTATCTAAAATGACCAGACCACAACTCTGTGAACTACATTCCCTGTTTTTTGAGAGAGGTGCATGGGTCCCTTAACATTCCCTGCTGACCAATGAAGGGAGGTTGCAGGACACAACAAAGGAGGCTTTTGTCTGATTGGCAGAGAGAAACTCAGAAATCCTGGTATTCTATTAGCTCATCCAAAAAGACGGGAGACAGGTTTTACAATTTATCATTCTAATATGAGAACACTAGAATATCTAACTGTTTGCAAATTTCATAATAAAGGCAACACTTTCTCCTCAGTTTTTTCTTTATGACCCTGAGTGTTGGTCCACTCTAAGGCTTGGACCCTAAACCTCCCACAAGGCAATCTAACGCTCCACAACATGAGCTTAAACCAAGTCTAGTTTAAAGGTTCTCAAGAAGTGAATGAGGAGCAGACACACAGGTGACGGGGCCAAAAAATTGCTTGTGTATTTTCTCTACGCAAAGGTAATGTTACATGATATGATATTGAGCATAACAATTTCCGCAACGTTTGAGCCCAGGTCCCGCATTTCGTTTGTTTAACTTCCGTCGCTGGAAAAGTGAATGAAATTCTGCGAAGTTGACGCACAAAATAAGTTGATGGCAGCCATGTAACACAAATCAATTTCACAAACATTCTTCACCTTGCGTTACCATCCATTTTTAAGTCAAAACCTCGCAACGTGATGCAAAGTTAAAAGTTGAAGGAAAACGTTTTCTCCAGCATGTTACACGGTGTTGTAATTTTCGCGCAACGATAAATTGCAAGAATTTTTCGTTACAATTATTCCATATATCGTGATCAGAAAGAAAAAAAACCTGGAGTTGTGAACAAAAATACTTCGAAGATACTAACCCTTCTTTGATTGCAATCGATCATGTAGATTGACGGGTTTCGATGTCTAAAAACCCCCGCTTTGTAGGCCATGATCACGCCATTTACTTCTCTTAAGCCTGGACCGAGCTTAATTTTGTTTCTCCCTTCAAGTCTTCCTTCCAAATCAGCTACACTACCGATAACATCGCCAGGCAACACAACGTGGTTTATAAGACTTCCAATACTTTTGTCCGCCATCTTTGATAGAAGATCCGCTGCTTGTCGACCGGCGGCTCAGAAATCAGCTGCTATTAGTTTCCAGGATCCTCCCCAACTTCGCGTCTTAGATTTCCTGGCTGCCGACCTCTTCAAGCTTTAAACATGATCAAGACTCTTCACTGGTTCGCCTAAAAAAGAAAAGAAAAAAAAAAGGACAAACAGAAGTCAAAGTTTATATTTAATGCCTTTTTTTCATTCTAAATTTCAGTCTCATGCCCTGCCGAAATATCTTTATAAAAAGATGCGTTTCACATGGCAATTCACTTAAGTATTTACAACAATTTGAGACAACATATTGCACAGCGAGGTTGAGCAAATCAAAAGAAATACAGTTTACTGTAAGTGACGACAGTGAGGTAAAAATTTTAAAATTATCAGCTGAGATAGGAGTCTAAGGAAACAACAAGAACGGTAGGAAAGCTTTATCTGAAGCAGAGAAGTTAATTAGGGCGGATTTACTAAAATTTACATAAACAGGAACTTAAACCGTTTAGACCTAAACATCAGTATGCATATCTTCCATACTGTTCTCTATACATTTCCCAAGGAGCTGACAAGGAGCATTTCTTTAACAATCAAGAGCGTACTTCTTTAGTTGGTGATCATTTCCTCTATTCTCGTGACCTTACTGTGTGTCGCATGGGTGATACCGTGAGGAGAAATTAGATACTGGTCACTTTTTGGGGTCAAACGATTAATAATAATAATACTAATAATTTATAGACTTATATTGCGCAATTATCAATATAAGAATTTTCAATTGCGCATTACAATTAAATGTTAAAAATTCAACCCCTACATAGATACTAAAAACTAAAAATTAAAAAATTAAAAAATTAAAAAAATAAAAAATAAATAAATGAATAAATAAAAAATGATCTCTAAGAAAATTTTAAAAATATGAAATTAGATACAAAGAATTTAAAAGCTTTGGCAAATAAAAAAAGTCTTAATGGCCTTCTTAAACTTGTTTAAAGACTGGGTGTTTCTAATAGAGCCTGGAAGATCCTACCACAATTTAGGGGCGGCGGCATGGAAAGATGGATCGCCGAGCGTAGTGAGTGTTTTACCCCTGCAAGGAGCAAGGAGTAAGCCGTTATTGGAACGGAAATCATATCTTCCGGTGTCTCTAACAGAAATCAGCTCACTTATGTAGGCCGGAGCAAGACCATGTATTGCTTTAAAAGTAATTAAGATAATTTTAAAAACTATGCGATATTTTACAGGCAGCCAGTGTAATGATTTGAGCAGAGGTGTGATATGACAAAATCTGCTCTCCTGGATTATAAGGCGTGCAGCTGCATTCTGGACTCTCTGTAATTTGTGAAGATGGCACTCAGGAACTCTAAATAGGAGGCTGTTACAATAGTCCAAGCGACTAGATATAAAGGCATGAATAAGTGTCTCCGTGCATTCTTTTGTTAAATATTTTCTAATTCTTCTAATGTTACAAAGATAGTAAAACGCTGCAGAGCAAGTCTTGGTGATGTGATCAACCATAGACAGGTTTGAATCAAACCAGACTCCAAGGTTTTGACAGAAGAGTGCGGAGCTATATTTACTTTGCCAACTTTAAAGTGTCCAATATCAACTTTGGCGAGTTGCTGCTTCGTGCCAATTAAAAGAAACTCAGTTTTTTCCCCGTTCAACAATAGTTTATTCTCACACATCCAACACCTGATCGCCTTAATACAACAATCAATAGCAGTAATGGCATCCAAGTGACCTGTCTCATCTGCGGGGCGGAAAGAGACGTAAAGTTGTGTATCGACTGCATAGCAGTGGACAGATGGAAGATATTTTTCGACGACGTCTAGTAACGAGCTCGTATAGATGGTAAACAAGAGCGGTCCTAAACAAGAGCCTTGGCGTACTCCGCAGTTCAAATCAAACTTCTTCGACAGACACCCACGAACTAATATCCTCTGACTGCGCCCAGATAAATACGATCGGAACCACTTGGACACCCTTTCCCAAGTCCCAGCGTATTGAGTGCTTCCAACAAGATATTATGCTCGACTGTATCTAAAGCAGCACTAAGATCGAGTAGCACTAGAAGGGTTACATGTTGTTTATTCATATTGAGCAGGATGTCATTCTTCACTTTCAGAATAGCAGTTTCAGTGCTATGATACACCCTGTATCTGATTGAGCGTTCGGGTATAGATTCGTAATGACCATGAGTTCGTGTATCTGATGGAAGACTGCTAGTTAGTGAGCTTCGATAAGAAAGCTAAATTGCTTACCGGTCTGAAATTCTTGAATATGATATCATGACCAGGCTTTTTGAGTAACGGACATACTACTGCCTCCTTCCAGGACTTAGGAAAGTGTCCGGCTTCTAATGATTTGTTAATGATCGTAGTAATGATGGGTAGAAGAGCATCACATCTGCTGACCAAGCGAGAGGGCATTGGGTCAAGTGCGCAAGACTTTAATGTTGAGTGAAGGATAAGCGACTTAACACTGTTGGCAGACAGGATCTTGAATGCAGATAACGATGGAGTGGACCGAGTAAAGCCATCAGCAGGGGTGGATGTGGAAGCAGGTAAATCTGTAATATTAGCATCGATTTGTCTCTGGATTGTATCAATCTTTGACACAAAATACTTTCCAACGTCGTTTGCAAAAGTGGGGGCATGCAGATTCGGAGGTAACTCATCGCCCTGCGACTGATTGAACAGGCGATTACTAACACGAAACAACTTTCGTTAATTACAGCTGTAATCCTCGATGAGTTTAGTGTAAAACGCCTGTCGTGCCTTGTTCATAAGATTGTTGAAAGCATTGCGCTTAACTTTGAAGACGGCCAAGTCGGAATCAATTTTCGACAATCTCCATCTTCTTTCAGCTTTCCGTCGCTCTCTCTTGGCTTGTCTAATTTCTTCCGTGTATCATGGAACTTGCGGACGCATAACAATCGTTCGAGTCTAACAGGGGCATGTTTGTCCAGCGCAGTTATTAGGGTTTTGTTATAGGACAAAAGAAGTTCCTCGAGGTCGTCCGGTGGAATTTATACAGCTCAGAATTAGCTAAGTCATCATTCAGGGAATCCACGTTCACTAATTTTATTTTCCTGTACGAGAGAGTCCTGGTGGAGAAAGAAGGCTTTATTGAATGAATATGACACAACACTGGTGCATGATCAGAGAAATAGCAGTTCTTTCCTGAACTCCAGGGGCGCAGAAAATCTTTTAAGTCCGCTTATCTACGATTAATAATTTATTTTACCGTGTTGTGATTAGGAGCCTTATTGGCGGAAAAGGTTATATATCTGATGGGTGATACGTGGTCTTTACGCCGTCGATCATTCTTTCGATTAACAACGAGAGGAATAAGAAAGACTAAAAACTTTCTCTCTGAGAATATTTGGAGATGAAACACCTTTGCTACCAAGCCCTTTCTCTTATGTTTCTGTTTGTTTTGTTAGGAGGCTGGTTCAACAGCTTCACAGTTGCCAAACAAGGTGAGTAAGCTAGGATAGAACAATAAACTTCAATGTTTTTCCCTTTGTGTAGGACGTATTTCATCCTTTCTTGCCAGTGATAATTGCAATGTGCCGTCTTGTAATAGTCAAACTATTTGGGTGCTCCTTGAAGTTAGCGGGCATTCAAAAGAAAAATGATCGTTCAAAAGTGATAGTCACATAATGAAAATCTGTATATGACAGCAGAAAAAAAGGCTTTCGACCGTTTTATCGGAATGGAATCTGGATTTAAAATTGAAACCTTTGTAATGTGAGCTATCGAAGTGTCACTGAAGTAAGTCGTGGGAAAGTTACCTGGCTTAGTCAAATGAACCACACTTACTAACAGATTAAGCATCAACCACTTCACCTATCACAAAGAAAGCTCGATTGACGAGAAAACGAAAATTTTAGTTGAAATGTTGTTTAATGTTGTTAGTTAAATGTTGAAACCCAGATGAATCATGTACTAAAATCTACCAAAGACAAATTTGCGGAGTTTAGGAACCTAGATCCAAAACTGTAACATCGTCATGAAGTTCATGTATTATATAAAACAGAGCTACTTATAAAGGGTTCTAGGAAAGTGTTACGAAAAATTGTAACAACCTCGGTTAAAAGAAACATATTCGGAATTTTTACAAGAAGGTGTTATAAGTAATTCTTGTTGTAAATATAAGCTTTTAGAAATCTCCAGACTGCTTAAGCATGCTGACATACGTATCATAGAACTTTCTAGAACATTTCATCAAGTCACGAAGTTATTACACAATATTAATTAAATAGTAGTATTATAAGCTTGAATGCGGAGGATTTTGGAGGATCACGTAATTTTCAGGGAGAATGGAGGGGGATCAATTGTCTCAAACGGAGTATAAAGAGGAAGGGGGGGCTATTAACTGCCAATGTGGAGGGGAGGGGGGATCATAAGCAAATTACAAAGCCTAATAGGAGAACCAGATAAATTTTATCGTGAAATAACCAACAGTGTTCTTGAGGTTAGGTAAAGCCGAATGATATTGCGTTACAAAAGCACTATTTTTTTTGTTTGTTTACTTGTTTTCAAGTAACAGTTGTCTGCCTTATTTTTTTTCTGCACCAGAACAAGTGTTCGATAAACATATGCCACAATGATGCAACTTGTTTGAATGAATTTACAGATCAGGGTTTCCTTTGTTTGTGTCAAACGGGATACGCGGGAGAATACTGCGAAAAAGGAGGTGAAAACTAAGAAACCATGATATACACTTTCAAATAAACGTTAAATGGTTTGAATTCGGGGGTAACATGTGATCGTGTAGTCTGATCGTGCGGGTTAGGGTAGTCTTTGTCGGCTGTGGTGACTGACAACCTAAGCGGAAGTCGTCATCAGGGTCAAGTGAAGAGATATTGTCAGTCAAATGCATTGGTCTAGTTCCTGTAAACTGATTGGTCAGCTTAGTTGTGATGTTAATGGCCATGAGACACAAGTGGCGTCATTCGGTCATGATTGCATGATTTTCTGTTTGTCATTGTCTTTTTTTTTAGTTTTAATACACTCAAAAAGGCGCTCTCAAGATACAATTTTTTTAAATCGATCGCTTTCACCATGAAGGTGCGGGACACACAACAGAGCGAGGCTTCAAATTAAGTGTACCCTTAAGTGTACCACCTTTTTTAGGTGGCGGTGGTGGCGGATTCTACTTCAGCGGAAGAAGTGGAACGAATTTTGATGGAAGCATTGGGGATCGGGGAGAAGGTGGCATGGGATTTCTTCAGGGAGGGGTGGGTGGAAGAGCTAAGACAAACAATATCATGGGTGGGTTTGGAGGTGGTGGTGGAGCTTATGGGAAAGGAGGATTGAATGGGGGAGGGAGAGGAGGAGGAGGAGGGTACTCTGGGGGAGGCAGTGGAGGGAGTGAAAGACATTCCTGTAGGGGTGGAGGTGGATCCTACAATTCTGGAAAGAGTAAAAAAATGAATGCTGTTTCAATGAAGCTGGGCATGGTCAGGTGACCATTATTCTACTGTAGAACAAAGAGATCGCGTCTGTCACCAAACACATTATCGAGCGAAATAGAACTGAAATAAGAGCACAGTCTGAAAAAATATTGGACAAAATTTCAAGAAAGCCAAAATTAAAAACAAACATGGTTAAACCTCGGAAACGACGATTCCATTTCATCGAAAGTGATTCGGACACAGACTGAAAAATCCTTGAACTGTTTAGCCGGACTTTGAACTTTAAGCCTTAAAGATGTGAAGATATCATTGCATATTATTGTTTTGATCGTACGCGGTTGTTTTGACCAAACGCACAGTTTGAATAAATTATTTTTGCACGTGATGCGCGCGCTTTCCTTATGCTTAATTATGATAAGCCATCTAGTAATTTTCCTTCTATATTATTAACACGTAATCACATGATTTTTCTCGTGCAATTTGGAATAAACAAGCACTTGTTAATTTTTTCAAAGACCACAAATTGCACTCGCCCCACGGGCCCGTGCAATTTTGTTAGTCTTTAATAAAATTTACTCGTGCTTATTTATTCCAAATTGCACTCGTAATCATGTGATTATCTATACAAAATGAGTTTAATTCGCATGTGAGTGAAAAATTATTGTCATATGAAAGAATGAGCACCAGGACTCATTTTGAAATTGAGTCCAAAGGTAATTCGGAAATGGCCTATTCATCCGAAAACTCGTGTCTTTAGCACTCTTTTGTTTTTCTCCTTTAAGTTTTTGCAACAAAGCCCTGTCAATCCAGGGCACCTGCATCCCTCCACACATCCGCTTCGATTATCTTTTCCTTTAGGACTGCACACTCGCGGCCGAACGGGTCACAAGATAAAAAGGTTTTTAATTTGGAAAAAGTGTTTCATTGTGACAATTTTGAAAAGAAAAGTAAAAAAAGACAATATATCTTTAACAGTTTTACTGTAATCGGATTTTCTTTGATGTCCGACTTGCATGAGAACAAACTGTCTTACAATTGCGTTCCCTATATCATTTTTTTAGATCCATGAAGTTTTAATATAACTTTTTATTCACTCAAATTGCGTCCATCTGCCTTGTCGAGAAAGATATAATCGAAAGCAAAACACATGATGCACTTGAAAGTTTTTGCCGGGAAGTTATTCAAATTCGCTTTCATATCCTAGAAGCTTCCTTTGAATAATCGGAAAAAATATTCAAGTTGGTGTGGATGAGAAGTTCTGGCCGTTTAACCGAATGATCCACTTTTTCACTCGGCAAGACTCATCTATCGATTTTTCAGAGTTGAAATAACGCAGCTGCACCTTTCCCACAAATACCCAGTTTGTGTATTTTCCTCCGGTGGGTTTCAGCCGAGGTGCTAAAAACATCTGCCATTGCCTAAACTTTGTATTTTTTAGTTTTTGATTTCGTTGGTACTAGATCTCAGCTAATCGTTACCAATTTGCTTTCCAAGATAAAAAATAAACGCTAATATTTCTACGTTTTTTAAAAAAAATTATGGAGTGTGAAAAGATTTAATACGTCGACGTGTGATTAAGGCAAAATTAGCATGTGACACGCGAAATTGTACAGAAAAGCGAGGGTGAGTCGTGAATTTCATTCTGAGCCGGCATGAGGCGTGATTTTAGTCCTGAAATATACGTGATATCTTACCCTTTTTTCTTTGCTATCGTGTTACCGTGAGCTTATAAAAAGGTTTCTTCTCAAAACTTCGTTTTGGTAATTCTATTGTAAACAAGGAAATAGCATTTCATTTGAATTTGAATGGAAATTTTGCTGCTACACAAACATGCTTGTCGAGATAAGTATATTCCAGTCGCTCGTCGAGTATTTCTAATAGGATTAATGATATCATAATTTAACCTATAAGTGCTGACGAAATACATCTTTGAAGATTGCTTTTAATGTCTCTGAAAATTTAAGGATAAAAAACAACACTAGCAAACAATGACGTTTCGCCGACGACATGAATGCCATCATTATCAAATGCAATTAAGAAAAGATTAACGATAATGTAAATATATTATGCAGAAAACGAAGTTGCGAAAGATGACATGAAAATGTGAACTAATTGGGAAGTTTTTGAGTGTTTTCGTGTCTGTTCGAGTGTCCATGGTTGGTCTTCGTTCCCATATGAGCAACATTTCATGAATGGGGCACTCAAGCGTGTCAAACTTTCCTCGGCAGTTTTTAAGATCATTAAATGATGGCGAAGATTACTAAGCCCTTGTAGGTGTTCTTTTAGGTGTTTGCCAATCACAGAGTATTTGTGTTCTTCAATGTTTTAAAGGAGATAACAGCTCGTGAAGTTTATATATTTTGTATTACACGAACAAACGCATTGATTGAAGGTTTGAAGCCAAATCTAAATCGACTTTCGCTTCTAAGAACGCCGCTTTTGTAAATTTGTCCACGACTAACATGGCGTTAAGGATCGAGTTATTCCGTACCCTCTTCAATCGGAGAAAGGCATTTCTCAAAGTTCATTCTAAATCCTTTAGGACCCTCAAGGGTTTCCACAGATAATATTACTTCCCGAGGTCTGTCCTCCTGCACTGCTTCGAAATATGCTGGGGAGGATGCCCTTTGGAAGCTTGCTTGAGTTGTCGAGCTATTTACACCATTCTTGTTGTCCAAAATAAATGTAACGCCACATAGTCTACCGATTCGTTTCAGCATTCTTCTAACTCCAGCACGAAATTCCCTTTTGCGAATTGAATAAATAATTGGGTTTGTCAGTGAGCTTACGTAGAAGATACACCGCGCGAATGGTATAATTTCAAGTAAGAATTTCTTCTTGTTAAAATAAAACAGGGTATTAGTTATCCACTCGGGTAGATAACAGAGTAAAAATACCGTGATAATGATGCATACGTCGACGGCTGCCTTCCGATCTAAGATCCTTCGTACCTCAAATTGCTCCTGTTTATTCAGGTCAGAACCCTCGAGGGATCCGAGTTGTGCGGCTGCTACAATGTTGATCTGAAGTATGTTTGCTGTTTTAAAAACTCTCCAATTTAGGTAAAGGATTATAATAAAAGGGATAACGAACAAAGTTAATGTCAAAGGAAATATAATCTTGTGGGAGCTCACTGCTGACTTGCAAAATGGCACTTCTGGATTGTAAAAGAATCCCGAATCGAAGAAGAAAGGAGCTGAGCACAGAAGGGAAGGCAGCGCCCATATAAGCACTAACTCCAGAACTCTTGAGGCAGTTATGGAGCCATCGTATGTCAAAGGCGATTTTACAATGGCGATGTATCGTTCATAAGAAACGGCAATGAAATGGAGAACCGTACTCAAATAGAAATATCTTGTAACAGCAATATGAAGAATACACATTGTTTCACCATACAACCATCTCTCTTGAGCTACGCTTGCGATGTTGAGCGAGTTTCCCAGTATCAAAAGGATACAGTCTGACACAGCAAGGCTAGCGAGAAGAATATACCGCATCCTATGAAAACTGCTTTCCATGAAAATCGTTGTTATCACCAATAAATTTCCAGGTAGACCGACAACGTCGATGACAGCATGCAAACCTGTAAGGATTTGCTAGTAAACCATGTTTGATTCGGCACGGCGCTATAAAATTTTGCCCTCTTCAAACGATTCTTGGTTTATTTGTGTGATCCAAGGTTTCTCGAAACAGCATGGTTTTAATCTTAGAGAATCAACCACAAAGAAAATTTTTCAGGAAACAGGTCGAAACGGGGACAACAAATTTGCCTTAGATTTTTAGGGACTATACTTAATATTCCGTTTGTAAATTTGCTTTCAATTAAACACAAAGAAACAGCCCCCGTAAATGACGCACGGAAATTAAATCTAACGAATCACAGGTTATTAAAATTCGGAGAAAAACTATGAGCCATGGAGTGTGGCGATGGGTTTATACATCGACATGATCAAGAAAAACAATTTTTGAGTAATTAGGATTAAAATAGAAAGTCAGAGATATTAACTAAAAGGCTGGCAAGAAGAATATACTGCATTATATGAAACTTGATTTCCGTAAAAAATCGTTTTCGACACCGGTAAATTTCCAGGCAGATCGACAATGTCGATGGTAGCATGAAAACCAGCAAGGAACTGCAAGAAAACCATATTTGATTTGGCACGGCGCTACCAAATGTCTTGTTTGTCTACAGACTCTTGCTCCGTGTGATCTCAGTTTTGATAAACAGATGGTGTCTAAGCATTTAAGGCGACAGCTAGATAAATTTTGTTAGGATACACGTTAAGAGAGAGCCAATGATACTGCTTTCGACTCTTAGGGAAAATAATTAAATTTCGTATGATTTATTTTCCTTTGCCCAAAAACTAATAATGAAATTCTGTTGTCGATTATGCATAAAATTTGGGTCGGAAGATCTTCGGGTTATTAAAATTCACACAGTGGCTTGGGAGTGACCAACGTTTTTAGGAATTACCATGTTAAAATCTGGAAAAAAAAGTCAAGATGACAATTTTTATTAAAAAAATTTAAGAAAAGCAAATTGTTAGACAAAATGATCGAAAACGATGTAAAGAAAAGTTGCGTTTTAATGCAAACATTTACTTAGTGGACATGTAGTTCAATTAACAATTTTACGTTGTTGACGTCATTTCAATAATATGTATGGTTATATGTGGCCAATTGTGGAGCAGAGAGGCTTTTAATTGTGTTCCGTTCTGTCTGAAGCACGCCGCTAGCGGCTAGAGCACGAAAGAAGTGAAAGGGGACGTAATCGAGTGTAGCCGAGTGTTTCTCCCTACCTCTACAATTCATGATGCCAGCGAACAAATGTGCGCAATTTTTCTTATAAGAAGCTTGTCAGAGTAAAACTAATAAGACTACCTTTAATCTGGCGACTAAGTAGACGATTATTTATATAAAGGAATTAATTGCGCGTTTCAGGTTTAGTTTATTCAGTTAGTTTTTATGGGATCGAGGTCATGTGTAACAGTTTGTTTTTCCAAAAGACTCTAAGGGTAGAATTTAGTAATCCTCTTTTATCGGGAGTCTAGGAAGACTTTATATAAAAGGATTAATTTGTAAGTCAATGTGAAGCTTTCTCAGCTCCAAGCGGGTCAGTAAAAATGCAAAGATCAGCACAGTTTAGAAAATTAAAGGACTTGAAATGCAAACTTAATATATTAAGGACTTATGGTATGTCTTTTCCTCGGCATAGCCACCAAAAAGGCCTGTAACTGCTTGAGTTTATCAATTAGATGGGAAAAGCATTGATATATCACTAAACTAATTGAAACTGACCCTTAGGTTAGATAAACAATGTTTAATTAGGAATCACTGAAAATTTAGCTGCAAATGTGTAAAACTGGCACATGTAAGTTTTGCATGTCTGACAGCGGACGGAATAATCCTGAAACTATCGAAAATTCAACTTTGATTCGATATCAACACATGATTTGGACTACATAGACTAGACCAGGTCATGAAACAAGAGCGCAAACATCCCAAATTCTGAATAGCAATTAAGCTATTATACAATTATGCAATATTTCAATTATGCTATATTTCCATGTAAACTAGTTGTGATATTTTGGTGTTAGATCCAGTTTGATGTGTAACATAATGAAACTGTGGAGGATTATTTAATACTTGATCGTCACTTCTCATTGGCTAATTGCGCTACGTGTATAAACGTGTAAGTTAAAGGGTTAAAATTTCAATTCATTCAATTCTGGAACGTTTTCAAAAGTCACAATTTGATATAGAGAAAGATGTTTCTTTTCGTCCGAGCACGAATTTTGGACAAAGAAAAAAACCCGCGTCCCGTTCGGGAATCAAATCTTGCACTTTCGGAACTTCTTTTCGCGGATCAAAGACATTCGGCAAAATTCAAGAACCGTAAAATCGCTCTCCGAAGCTCATGACAAGACCAAAAAAAAAAAATTAGCTCTTTATTTCATGACCAGCTCATAATTAATCATCTCTCTCAATCTAATTAGTTACAATGTTTTGTTAGTTTTCAGTGTCGCTCGATTTATCTAATCGCTATTGATGGTCAGACGTTGGATCGCAATAATCCGCCCTTCAAGGGAATCATAATGGCACGAGATGAACACGCGCCAAGTTTCTGACTGGACACATGATTTTCATTTTCTTTACGCCTTAAAACCGATTTGACTACGACTTACTGACATAATTCCTACTATAAGGAAAATCTGATGGATCGTTAAGCTTCTCTGAAATCATTCCTGAATTCAAAATTCAATAATTTGAGAGTTTAACTCTCCTCTGCATCTAAAAATTAACAGAAGGTTAACGGCCTCCTTATTTTTTCTGAAAATGTACATGAAGGATGAAGGTATCTGCCATGCGTGATAAGGGTTCATTACGATCAAAAATAAGTTCTCTCAGCAATTCAGTTATGTTGCTACGTGCTCAGTAAGCCCAAACAACTTAAACCTGAGGTGAAAAAAGTCAACAGATTCAGATTTCATGACTACCGACGAAAAACGATCATCCCAATTTAGCTTGAAAACAATGATAAGCCCTCAACGGATTTATATCAAACAATATAGAAAGCCCACACTACACACTCATTTACCATGGAAGTAAAGCGTTATTTACCATAAGTAAATTAAATCTATTTAGTCTGGTTTCTTTCTGTCTCACTATTTTCAATAAAAAGGAACTCTTTTTAAGTATGCAGACTGAGGCTACTTAAAAAGCCTACAGTCCTTCCAGTCTCCAGGCTCCAGAAGTGATCAGACAAGACTTGATCATGCATGGTTAGCTTTCTTACCATTTCACTAAAATAGCTTTTGTTTTGGGAGCAATAATTAAAGGATTTGTGGTTGTTGGGTACAACAGACAATGGAAAGCAATATCTTCCCCTATCTACCAAAAACGTTAATTCTGTTAAGCATGGCCGCCAAATAACAACAGTTTTCTGCAAAATATAAGCAAACTTAATTCTACACGAATATCGATCCAAAAATGTATCAACATCGCATCAGGTCATGCCTCTACTGTCGTTCCTTTTTTATCAGTCACAAACTAACGTCTTATTTCCTTGGTCAAACAGAGACCAATGATTGCAAAAATGTTGGTGAACAACATGAAAAAATTCCGTCAGCCTCTTCTGCAAGCATCTGTTTCGTTAATATCAAACAGAAATAATATTGCGGTTCTTAATTTTTCACAGAACGTTCTTAATCCGTGAAAAGAAGATTACACTGAAAAGACAAATACCTAGCAACAAATAGCCGCAAAAACCAATTGCCTTTTGTTTGCAAAAAAGGGAAGAAAGAAAACCTGAAGAACAAAAAAAAAAAAAAAGAAAAAAGAAAAAAGAAAGAAAATAAACGGCATTTGATAAGAGTCTTCCCTCGGTTTGATACTGATGTCAAGTCAGGCCTTTTAGGTACCGAGGCTATGAAATTTAATGTAAGTCTGTGAAGTGTCTCTTTTATGTTGCAATTGACTATGTCGTATATATGTCATCACGAATTAAGACTTGTGCTCGTTACAGTAACAATAACAGCAAGACGAAGTTAAGAAAGAATCATGCAATTTTTACAGATAAAGCAAAAATAGATCCAAGAGGTGGCTTACCTACTATTATCAAATTTTCAGGTTCCTTAATCACCTGAGAGGAAACGGAAAGTCAATTATAAAGAAATTTTCCAAAAGAGGACCGCCCTCATCGAGAAGCAGTTAGCATGGCTTTAGCGGACACATTCAGAAAGAAACAGAAGCAGAGACAGGAAGTCTGTCTTCAAGACACTTTAAGTGCCGGGTGGTCACTTAAGAAATAGCTCAACTGAAAGATTAACTTATAATTACTCATAACAAATACTAAAATACATAAGATCCACACGTTTAATCCTCACTTGGACTTAGCTCAACGATCAGAGTACCAGCTTATGTTTTTGTTTCCATAAAGTTTCATCGTTGTATTGCTCTAAAAACGAGAGAGTGAAGGGAAAAAAAGCGATGGAAGAGAGAGTGAAACGAAGCGATGGAAGAGAGAGAGAAACGAAGCGATGGACCCAAGATTGAGCTTTTATGGAAAGAAGACTGTCTTCCGCCGGTAAACAAAATAGGTCTAGTGCAGCAAGACAGGGAAAAGATATTCTAATTTCCGAAACATTTAAATTTGGCTTATGCGAACTTTTACAGAAGAGCTGACGTAAGTCAACTTCATCATCGTTTCAACCCCAATCTCTGTTACCCTTGTTGATAATGATAGTATGGTCGCAAGGAAATAATTAACTAAAAATAGCCATAAATTACACTTCCTTTGTTTGTACTGATCAAGACAGTTTCAGGTGTCAAAATGGGAAGGTGGGTTTCGCTAACTTGTACTCCGATTATTTTAGTTTGTGTGAGAAGACAAAGGAAATTATGGTTATGAAGAGATGGCTGAGAAAGGATATCCGATCTTGAAATACACAGGAATTCGTTACTTTTATTACTAATACCTCCTTTCCTTTAATTGTCACAGTAGTGATTCAGCACATTTTCTGAACACATGTATTACTTCATCGGAACAGTATGCAACCCATGATAGCCCAACAGGAATTTATCTTCTTGTGGATCT